CGTGCTGTCCGTGACTGCTGGGCGCTGGCACGGATCGTGGTGGAAGGACCGAGGCAGGCTGAGACTGCGGGATGCTGCGAGAGGGGCCTGAGCCCCCTCCTGCCTCTGGTTTTGTTCCTTGGTCCCTGTTCCTGCCCCTCTTAGCCCCCAGGGACTAGAAATAAGCTACCTCGAGAGCAAATTGCCAGCTTGGCCTTGCCAACCGGCAGCTGGCTCAGGGATGTCCTCCACCAGAGCGGGCATCAGGTTGGGCTCCCCGTTATCTCTCCCACAACCATCACTGCTGAGCTGACCTACGTGCCTTCGGGTGGGCAGCCTTGGGCCAGGGGCTGCAAAGCTTCATGAAGTAGGTGAAGCAAGTCCCCCCGGCGAGTTCCAAGCATGCTGTTATTTTCCTCTGTTTTAGGGAGAGCTCTGACTCACCATGATAGCAGCATTAGTGTAAGATACGTGTTTACAAGACCAAAAAAAGTGGAGGTTTGCCAAACCCCACAGCCCTGTCTGCAGAAGAGGCCGAGGCTACAGCGTGGGGCTGTGATGGCGAGCGAAGGGAAATGCCCCCTGGGGAGAGCTGTGTCTCTGACAGTCACCAGCAGAGTGGGGACTGGTTTCCAAAACCTGCCTGGGCAATCGGATGGTTTGGGGCCCACCAGTCATGGGAAGGCAGTGGCATGGAAATTAGGGGAAGACAGTCTGGGAGGGATTTGGTGCACGGTTAGGAGAGCGCGTCCCATTGCTCCATTGGCTGTAGTCTGGGGCTCTGTGAGCAACACTTACCACAGCCGTGTTGAGCTCTGGTCTGGATTTCTTGCTACTGAGAAGTGAACACAGGTGAGGCATCCTCACAGGAACTGGTCATTTGTCCTTGATATCTGTAAAAGCTTATTGCTTTGGTTAGCGTGACATCAATTATTTATTACTATTAATGAAGGACACAGATGGCTGTCTGGTCAATAAAATATCTCCTACTCCATGGAGATGATCTACTTAGCTATCATTTACTCTGCAGAGAATCTTTGGATTCTTACTGAAATTTAATAACACGAGCTAAGATACTACAGCAATCTAGGTCTGTGCTTCGGGGCTGCTCTGGGAGGCTGAAATCCTTCTTTATATTTGCTGGCGGGGTGTGTGAGAACACAGGCCCAGACGGGAAAGAGAAGCCCCGTTGCTTTCCATCACAAGCTACTTATCCATATAATCCCTTTTATAAAATGATCAAACTCCATCTTAAGAGATAGTTAGGTTATTTGTCCTTCTCAGGAGTCGACCATCTATTCATATCCAATTTACTTTCTTGTGCCATTACTGCCCATTAGCCTAAATATTTAGTTTCCATCTGAGTGCCTGCCCCGTTGATGTATTCACAGAACCAGCTCTCTCTTCTTGGCCTTTTTATGTCTCTGCTTGTATGGTAAACTTGTGCCTTTTGTTATTTCCCTATGAAAAGCCTTCTCTCCTGCTTTTCCTGTACCTTGTTGGTGAGCACAGCTGAGCTGAGCTCTCCAGCTGGGCACTCCTCAGGGATCTGTGCGGGTTCCTTCATTGCTGCAGCATCCCAGGACCACTTCTGCCTGGTAGGGCTACATTCGTGGTCCGCCATCCTCTTGCCTCAGTTGCATCCAGCTACAAGCCCCTGGTCTAAATCTAGGGAATAACATCATTTTTGGTCCCAGGGGAAGCTTAGGAAATCTCCCTTCAGCTGCTCACAGAGCACCACGGACTGAACAAAGAGACTTTCTTGTCTGAGATGAACAAAGCTGCCGTGTGCTGTTTCACCTGGGGGAGAGCACAAGAGGGCAGCTCTCTGCACTGGTTGCAGGATGGCCGATGGCTCTGGGCACTTGATTTGTCCCTGGGCTGTCCCTTACCTGTCCCTTACCTGACCCCGCATCTGCTCTCCCCAGCCCGTGCAGTCTGGCACCAGCAGCAATCTTACTGCTGCTTACACAGGTGCAGGAATACTGCCAGCCTTGGCTTTCAGCACCTTTGTTAGCATCTGTTTTGCTATTTTTGTAACCACCTCTTTGCTTTTGTTCGACTGTAGCAGGACCAGCAAGAGAGGGAAGTTCCCCAGAGGCTCAGGACTGAACACAAAGCAACCTCTCGCTGTTGAGATTTTATTGCAGGGGTTTTGGTTTAAGCCAGGTTGACACCACATTGTTAGTCCCCATGAGCTTTGCTCCACAGCCTCCGAAGATGCCCATAGCACAGGACCTGCGAAGGTACCCGCAGAAACTTGCAGACCTCTGGGTACCCCATGGCACTGGGAGAAGGAGGTGGGTGCGAGGGACAGTTGGTTTCTGTCCTCTTGGCTATGTGAGATTGGGAATATGCTCTACGGATTTGGAGCTGCTTTTTTGGTTTTATTCTGTCTTTTAATGTTTAAAAAAAAAAAACGTCCTGAGGAAAGGCTGCTGGGAAGGACTCTGGGATTGACACTTTCTCATCCTTGGCTTGTGAGATTCCCTGCAGGGCAGCGACTGACCTCCCCGCGCTCTCTGATGCAAGCATTATTTTTACCCTGGTGTCTCACTCCAGATGGAGGCTGTTTCAGAAGTTCTCACCTAGACACAACCACATTTCTCTGAAACCCTGCAGCTACAGAACAGCGTTTCAAACCGATAGCAGGGGAGCGTTGGCTCTCCGGCACGCTAGAGTGAAGAGCGTGTCCAAGCACCGGGAGCGGCAGCGCAGGAGCACACACGCACATACGGTCCTTACGACACATCCCACGTCATCCCAGCCCCAAACTCCTGCCAGCTTTCCCCGAGGCACTTGCCTGCCTGCATGAAGGCAGGGAACGCTTCAGCTTGTCGGTGCAGCTCCAAATAGCAAAGCTGTCATAGGAGAAAGGTCCCTGGGACCAGCCTGACGTCTGCTCGGAGATGGATGGCACCAGCCCGCAAAGAGTGAGGTCCAAACGAAGCAGGAAGTGAGGTGAAGAAAGTGCAGTAATGAAAATACAACAAAACGAAACAAACACTGACATCTTTAGTAATGGTGTAGGAGCTGCCAGATGGGCTTGACCCAGGGGCCGTCTAGACGGCTTCATACAGTGGCCAGTTCTGGAGGAAGGTGCGAGATGCCCACAGCAGGCACCCATGGGATGATCTGCCCCCATGAAGTTTCTTCCCGGTCAGAGGAGAGGTTGCTTGAGGTCTGAAGAGGCTTAAAGGTCTTTCCATAGTTCAGCAGCACAATCTGGAGCTGCTTTCTCGTTACGTGTTTGTGATTCATCAGTCACGGCAGTGTCTGTCCTCGGTGACTTCTGGGGACAGGGAGTTCCCCTGCCCAACCCGCTGTCGTATGAAAAGGGATGGAAATGAGCACTGGAAATGTGCAGTAGGGTTTTGTTTGTTTGTTTAAACCATAAACCCAGAGCTAAGGGACTTGCTCAAGGCCATTCAGCGCTCACAACTTCCAAGCAGCAATTTTACAGCTGCCAACCCAACCTGCCCGCGGAATTGACCTGGGCTTTGGTACAGCCCCGGCTCTGGTAGCCAGGGTAAACTACAGAGACTGGTGACAGGGCTGCCTGAAAAACGTTTGGAAAGAACAAGTCGTGCTGGGAGCATTAAAATGAATAATTAAGGCTTGGATTCCTTTAGGGAGGAAAAGAATTTATTGCTGCTCTTTTCTCTAGCCAAGGGGGACATTTGTTACTGAATTGTGTATCTTGAGACGACGCAAATGCGGCTTGGGGGGGCTGGAGGGGAGAGGATTTTTTCTTCTACCTGGGTAATCTGGCCGCACAACGAGGCGGCCCGGGCTGGGTGTACCAGTGGGATATTTCTTACGGTCTGTACCAAGAAACTAGACTTGTGTTCCATTTCAGTAGTCCTCGGTTAATTTTGCTTGTAGAAGAAGAAAGGAAGAAATGTGCTGAGTGGGGAATTCTTCTCCTCTCTGCGCTGCGGTGTCTTGACATTTCCACGTGCACGAGGTGCCCAGCGCAGTGACCTGGGGCCAGCCCTGCTGACTGCAGCAGCTGCAGCAGCCCTCGCCCCGATTCCCATCTGTGGGAGTGAGGGCATGACCAGGGCATCTGTTGGGTTTTGGTTTTTACTGCTGGTACCTTGAGCTGGTGTAAAATGGGAATTGAAAGCAATGAGCTCCAACCGCCCGACAGCTTCCCCCGTGCGAGGAGCCAGCAGCTTGCACAGCAGTGGATAATCGGGTCCAAAAAGCTTAATAAATGGGACATTTTCGGTTTCAGCTGGGTCATGATCTAAGTGTTTAATAAGCTTTATAAACCAGGAGACCAAAAAAAAAAAAGTCTTTCAGCAGTTTTTTTATTGTTATTATTTTTCTTTGAGTGCTTGTAAAGGGGTGAATGTCCTTCAGTGCGGCTGAGCCGAGGGCTGCAGCAATCAGCTGCAGGAGCCAGCGGAGTGCACATGAAAGGGAATGCAAAGCTACCGATTTTCATCGAATGAATAAAAAAATAAACAGCACATTGCAAGCAATTACATCCACGCTCTATAAATGTCTCCTTTCTGATAATCTAACGTAGCGGAAACATATTTCACCGTGACAGGTAATTTTGGAAAAAAGACCGTCTCCTTTTTGAGAACTGAAGGCGCCATTAGGGCAGGACAGAGCTATTTCGTGTGGGTGCCCGTGCTGTTCTGGGAACCCAGATCCCACCCTTGGGTGGTGGTCCCACACATGGTGTGTGCAGTGAGCCCACACGTTGCTCGTTTGAGCTGTGAATGCACTTTTCTGCTGTCCAAGCTATGACTTAGCACTGGCCGCAGTCCTTGCTGTGGATCCCTGTTGCAGCTGACGGCCTGTGCATGTTTTCTGCTTGCTTTGTCCCCAGGCAATGTTCCCCGTACAGGCTCGTGGTCATTCCTTCCAGCCACAGCCAGCTGGATTTTGTTGCTTGCCCGTAAGCCTGTGCTGGATAAGGGTGTTCCTGCGTTATTTTGTCAATGGCCTGCAATAATTGGCATCCGTATTGATGTTTTGGTCTTTCTCGTCTCTTCGCTCTCCAGGAGAATCCTTGAGCTTTGCGGATGATTTGCTTTCCGGCCTTGCAACGTCCTGTGTGGCAGCTGGTAGGAGCCACGGAGACGTCCCCGAAACCAGCCTCTATTCGGTTATTTTCAAATGCCTGGAACCAGACGGTCTGTACAAGTAAGGAGGGTCGTGTGGGGAGGTGCTGGGGAAGGGGGGATCTCCAATACAGTTATTTAATTGTTATTTATCTTTTTGATCACTACCATGTTACACAAGACACTGGAGAAATGATGAGACTGCTGCTTTGGGCGTTAGGCTCAACCAGTGAAATGCAGAAACAGTGTCTGCCAGTACGGCACTGGAGGCACTGGTTGTCTATTGGAGACCCCACTGAAATAACTCAGATTTCCAGCAGGCTTCCAGGTCCATGCCTAGTGGGGTAGGGCTGTCTCACACGGACAAACTGAGCTAATGTGCTGAGATGGCAGCAAGCTGCCCACCCTGGCCAAATTCCTGGTGGACCGAGATGGCCAGAAGGTTGTAGGTGTGGGAGGTGTTGCTCACATCGGTTGACTCGTATCAGCAGGACTTGTATACCAGCTCAGAGATGCCCCAAATGCATCTGCCCACCATGCTGTCGGTTATGTTGTGGTGCTTGGTCACATCTGTGCTGGTGTTCACTGAACTCTTCTGAGATGATGCCTTTGAGAAAATGGGATTGGATTTTCTGTTTGAACCCTATGGGAGTAGCTCGTGTCCAAAGTAAAGGGAAAATTTCAGCATCCAATTATTACTTTCTGTGTCAATACAGTTTGGAGGGGGTCTGCTCAAGAGGGTAGGAATGAGCTTCCATAGGAATGGAGAGCACATGGAGGCGGATTGAAGGCAGGAACATGAAGGAGCGGAGGAGGCAGGGCAGAGCCATGACACGGGCACAGCAGCATGACCCCGTTATATTTTTTTCCCACCAGAAAAGGACAGAGGAGGCTCAGCAGGTGCAGCAGGTGCTCCATTCGAGCATCCCTTGTTTCACTGTTGACTGCCCCAGCCAGAACAGCCCTTGGCATGACGAGTTTTGCTGTCTGTCTCAGAGGCCCCAAAATGCAGAAGCAGATGGGGAAGATGTTCCCCATCCTGCAGCACTTCTGCTCCCAGGTCCAAGGGCAGTCTGCAGCCCTCTGCCATCAGGCAGGGGGACGGGGAGCTGACATCTTCAGACCCTTCTTCCTCCCGTGTACTCTCTAGAAATGGCATCTTCTGTTCTGTGGGGGATGGCAGGAGTCAGGAGGGTCAGAGGAGAGAGGGAGGGAGAGAGGAGGCGAGGAGATGAAGGAGAGATGCAGTAAGCAAGAGAGAAACACCCAGGGCTTAATGTCAGAGAGACTGTAATAATTAAAACACATTTCGTAGTGAGTAATGAAACTTTTTATGGGACCACAAAAGCAGTTAAAGCAAGAGCTGGCAAATGGTCTGTCAGCGAGAACTTTTTAAGATCTTGATTAATACTTTCCCTTTGCCTCCCCCTCCGCCACCCCCCAGTTAAGTATGTTGACAGCCTCCAAAAACGGAGCAGTCTTTATTACGCATCCCTCGAGCAGGGCCGTGTCCAGGAGCGGGCTCCAAGTGATACCTCTTGCCATTTAATCATTTGAAATGTTTTCTCGTTAAATATATATAACGCGTAAATACAATTATTAATATCGCTGGAAACTGGACTGCCCTGAAAAGGTGCCAAGGAGAGCCTGGAACAACCGCAGAGCTTGCTAATAACGTGCCGCCAATAAAATTGGTGGGTTGTGAGCTATCGGCAGTTCGACTTATGCTGCCAGGGCGCTGGGCACGGGGAGAGCTGCTGGGTTCGATGGGGAGGCTGCTGCCGAGGTGAAGGCACGGAGCTGGGAGCCAGAAGGTCTGGCTGTTCGGCAGCACGGGCTGCCAGATCATCTTCCCCATCTGCTGGGCAGGGATAATTGCACTCACCCGTCTCTTCAGGGGCTCCGTGATCTAATTCCCGATGTCTGTAAAGGGCTGGGAGAACCTTGGGTGGGAGGCGTGAGGCTTTGTCCGGGGTTGTGTCATCCCTTTGGCCAAAGCCAGGCTTCTGCTCCGCGGCGGGGGTAGGCAGAGGTCGGTTGTGCCCCGTGCCCCGGGGTGGCTGTGGGCAGCTCCTGGTACCCCCAGGTGAGGGACAGCAGCTCTCCATGGGGAGCTGCTGCTGTGTGCAGCCCTCAAACACCCGTCCCTTGGCACTGAGGAGCTTTGGACCTGGTGTTCCTGCGGGGACAGGACGGGGGTGACGCACAGCGCTGGCTCTGTCCATCGGCTAATTCTCAGCAGGGCTTGGCGCGCCCTTTGCAGGGCTGCACGCGCTGACACGCACTTGTATGGACACACGTCCGTGCTGGAACGTGTGGGGCACAGACCTGCTGTCCTAGGAACCCCAAAAATGTGAGCACACACACTGCAGCACACCTTGCTCAGCATCTGCTGCTGCACGTGCCAGCACACCTGCGGGGACCGATGCTCCCGTGCTCCCCGTGTTCGTGTACGCTACCGTGGGTGCATCCATATCCAGCACACACACGTCTGTTCCAGCCCGGGACCCAACCAGCACATGTTTACTTAGCATCTGTGCATTCTCAGATACATAAGTACACACATTAAATATTCCGCTGTTCAGATGTCCATACAGTTGCGACACAGCGTGAAGAAAGCCAGAACAGTGAAATGTGAGGCTAACACTCTGTTCTGAGCCCGCGCGGACATAACAACAACAGAAACACGGGCACGGGGTCACTCCTTAAATTGAATTTCTTCTGCTTGTTTCATTTGTTTCTGTGGAAAAAAATAGCTGCGTTGGAAGGCCCCGAGCTGCTATAATCCTGGTTATAGCAGCTCGGCAGGGACCTGTGCTTTTCTCCAGGCTGGTAGGTGAGCACACGGACCCTGCAGCATCAGAGCTCTTCAAAAGCAAATGCTTTTTCTTGTTCAGTAGTCTGAGGGTATCACGCAAACTGAGGAGAGGAGACTGTGAGATCATGGGAGCCTCTTCTGCTTTGTAAATGTGTCTGACGTCCTGTCCCTTTTCTTCTCTAGTACCTACGGCAATTTCACTGCTGTTGGCCACTCATTTGGCAGATTACCAGGCTGAGATCAAAGCTGGGCTTGAGCATGAAAAACAAAACCAAAAAATGCTCTACAAACAAGCAAATAAACAGCCTGATTGATTCCTCTGCTTTTGAGACTTCTGTAATTTCAAAACATAAACTAACAAAAGGAGAACTAATTTCTTTGTCCTTTGCAATTTCAGCCTGATGAAAATATGTTGCCTGTCAGCCCTGTTCTTTCCCCTGCCTGTAGTACGTAGGGGCTGAGATTCCAGTCCCTGCACAGAGGGTTTTCCAAAGGAAAGTAGTTTGTTTCAACAAAGACGTGTGTGCTCCATCGGCTGCCGTGCACACGTGGACACTCCTGCTGGTCCCACAGGTGGGGGTGCCCATGCTTGGGATCCGTGCTACAGCCCCATGAATGCCCTCAAACACGGGGCACCTCTGATGGGCTTTGAAGAATGACAAGTTTGGTTCAAGCTCTTAAAAACAAAAGGCTTGTAATTCTTGCAGAGCACCTCATGGGTCTGGGGATTCTTCTCCCAGTGCTCAGCTGGACCAGAGGCCGTCCACCAAGTGGCCTCCCAGGTGGATCTGGAAGAGGATGGGATGAGGAAGGTGGAGGGAGAGCTGTCTCTGCGTCTGTTCAGTGCTTGGCTGGTGCAGGCCAGCCAGTCGTGTCTGAGGTTAATGCCAATCAGACCGATGGTTTGGGAGCCTGGGAGCATCGCTCTGTGACAGGCAACTCGTGGTGCACCAAGTCCCAAATGCCAGCTGGGAGAAGGGGCTCTGCCTTGTTTCGGGGGTCAAATCCAGCCTGGAGGACTGACCTTGCATAGCTCATGACCCTGACGTAGCTCACCACCTACAACCCCAACAGCTCTCTTTGCTGCTGAGATGAGGGCTTCCCTTGTGCATCCCGCAGCCTCCCTGAGCCTTCAGCCCTGCTCATCGATCTCGGCTTCTCACCCCATCATTCTCCTGGCTCCTGGGGATGCCTCATTGCTGAGCTGTACCCGATCGGCTGCCTGAACGCAGCTCTGCCAGCCCAGCACGTTCCTTTTGGATACGTGGTGATACACCAAGAGCTGGGAGCCAGAAAGGGAGATTTTGGAAAAGGAAATGAAAACCCCCTCCAGCTCCTTATGGAGCTGTAGTGCAAACACACCAACCTCTTCCCTGTGCCACAGATACTATAATTATAGATTAGATTAAATCCCAATGTTTCACTTTATTTACATTCCTGACCTAGCCTATTCATTTCCGGTGTTTGTGCCAAGAATCAGCACAAAATTTACTGGAAATAATATGGAAGTCATCAGGATCCCTTCCAGAGCCTTTCCTTGGAGTGTGTTCATGTGCTGAGAAGGAGCCTCCAATTTGCCTTCCCTTTGCTGGCCCACATGGAGCTTCCCCAGGGTGATCCCGAACCAGCCCAAAGGCTCTGGCAGAGTGAGTTTTGGGAACAGTAGGAACCCATTCCCATGGGATGGTCAGGTCCTTCCATGGGATGGAAGTGCATTTAGGATTCTCAGACCACCACCACAAGGCTCCCAGCCACAGCCAAGTCCTGTGCACCCAGCATCAATGCCTGTTGGGCCACCTCCCGCATGGCTCCTCTGTCATTGTGTGCCCAGCAGTGAAAATACTTTTTTCTTTCTTTCTTTCTTTCTTTTTTTTTTTTTTTGGCAAGCTGAAGGAAAGAGGCAAAGTGGCTGAATATTGGGAACCTGCTGTAGCACTGAGAGATGGCAACTGCAGCTCAACGAGCTGAACATGCTGAAGGAACTGGCTCGGAGCGAGGCTGATTAATGTTGACTGACCTCTGCCTTATGCAGAGCTGGGATAACGAGTGGAATGGAAACCCTTGGTGCTCAAGTGTCTGCTAATGCTGGCAGCAGGTCCGCCGCTCCTTATATGATACTAATTGTTATTGTTGGTCTTCCGTCAGGAAGACACATGAATGAGCACTGGAGAAATCGGAGACAGATCCCGACTAGCTCAGTGGCATGGGTTAAAACACATCTGTTACAGCCCTTGGCTGAGGCCCCCGTGTGCACAGGAGCTGTG